GCCTAATTAGAAATGGTTATTGCTGAAACTACAGATAATGAAATAAGTTTACAGATCATTAGAATTAGGTCATCACTTCAATATAAAGAAAAAATATCACCCTCTCCTCCAAAAATAACAATAACAATAAAAGATCTACATCCAGTATACCGACAAACTATGTCTGAATGTACTGACCTTTTAAACATGCAATTTATAGAACAAACCATGTTGACATCACTGACACTAACCAAAAGCCAATGTTACTGGACGAGAAAACGGCCATTTGAACGCCCTTCCTCGGTCTAATTAGAAATGGTGATTGCTGAAACTACATATAATGAAATAAGTTTGCAGATCATTATAATTAGGTCATCACTTCAATATAAAGAAAAAATATCACGCTCTCCTCCGAAAATATTAAATTTTTTCTTATTTTGCTTATTTTGCCCCCGTCGATTATTTTATCTATTATAGACCCCATCGGTTTATATAATGACAAAATAATTGTTGGAGATTTGCAAAAAAATAAGAACAAATCTTACATGTCAATTATGACATCGAGTATTTGCTTGCAAACTTGGTAACAAAAAATATGAAAGTTTGTGATCTATGTGGAGAGAAAAGTGGACAAGTTACTTACTTTTTGCACCAGGCATACATGATCATATCTTATGCAAACAAAATACATTCATAGACTTTGCACCACAACCTATATGCATGAATTTAACAAAACTGTTGAATTTTTAATGTGTTTGCTCGTAGAAAATGGATCACGTGGGGTGGGGGTGGGGTGGTACCGCTGCTAAAGTATTCTAGTTTATGGGTAAACTGAGATTAAAAAACTAGGTGGAAACCGAAGCAATAGTTTAGGAGAACATTGTTTTTAATAATCTAGGAAAGCACTGCATTGTAGCATCCAAAACAAATAGCAAGCACCAGCTGCTTCCACAATATTGTAAATAAGTGCCAAACACGGGCATTACAATGCATAATATATTTTCGAGGCATGCTGACACACCACTTTCAGACCAACCGAAACACTGTTTGGACCCATCTCTAGAAAGTGAGGAAGATCAACATGTCTCTAATGAAGCGTTGTTGCTCTTGAATTGCTGAAAATGTAAAATCATGTCGACGTCGGACCAAAAACAACGAAGATCAGTAGAAGGGCGCCTGTTGAGGTGGGCCACAGACGCCCTTCCTTGGCTGGCGGAGGTAACTAGTCCCTCCAATTGGCTGAGAGTTGCTAGGGCCTGGCAGATGGCCGCCGTCTTCTTCTTCTTCGGTAGAGTCTGAGTCTGAGTATTCCCACTTGCATTCCGGATCAAGAATGAATGTCAAGTTGGGATCAGACACGATTCCTTCAAGCTGACATCAACGGGGAAACATAAATTTACATGAGTAAAGTATATAGACTAGCTAGTTAGTAGATGTATGTAGGCTGCATGTCTTAACAATCAGATGTCTTAACAATCAGCTAGTTAGTAGATGTATGTAGGCTGCATTTGTATACTTTGCTAGCAGATGGAACTCATGTTAGTAACAAAAATGTCAAATAAAGAACATTCATATCATACTCCAAAGATTAGATTTCACGTGTTTGGATCCAAATATGTTTTGCTCACTGGGATATGATATTAGGAGGTAGTTCCTCTGCAGAGGATTATGCACCACTTAAGTCGATCGGTCGGAACATGTAAAGATATTTGATGAACTGGTTGACAAGCATTTTGGTGATTTCAACCATGCTAGCATCATGGCCGGGTGTAATCTAATCTAGCTTTCCATATCGATCCTATACATTGGCATGGCGCCCGCTTAGTGAATGCACAGAAATGTTATGAAATCTTGCACGAGAAATGTTAGGTGCGCGTGTGTACCTTGCAGCCGAGGGAGCAGAAGCGGAAGATTTCGTCGACGAGTTTCCGGCCGCACATCAGGCATGCGCCGGCGGGGCTGAAGCAAATGATGGCGTGCTGCGGCGCCTGCAGCCTCGGGTTGAGGTACATCACCCTCTCGTGGTTGACCATGTATGGCTGCACCAGGGACATGTCCGCAACCTCCTCCAGCTCCGCCACCCAGATCACCACGCTGTTCTTGTATGACGACCGCCGTATCTGCAATAATATCTATCAATCTATAATGCCGCCGCTGCCATTGGTACGCACGTGATGCACTTGTATATGTTAAGTACCTGGAGGACATGGTGGTCATGGTGGCCGGAGAGGCACATGGGGCAGCAGACGGCGTTCTCCTCAACGGCACAGCTAAGGCAGTAGTGGTTGCAATCATTCTTGGCCAGTCTGGGGTGCGTGGCACAGCGCTGGAAGAACCTCACGCCGAGCAGCGGCCCCAGCCATGATGGAGCGCCGCCCAACTTCATGCCCGACGATGACGACATTGCTCTCTCTATGTATACCAAGCAGACAAACGTAATGCATATGTGAGCTTCACATGATGCCGCAAAAATGCCAAGAACAGCTTATGTTCTAGCTAGGATCATAGGCAATACTAGTGATTGATGTGTATCTATGGACTGTTGTTCCCGGACGGAGGCGTCGCTCCGGTGGAGGTAGCGGCCGGCGGAGTAATTTTGATTTCTATAGATCTACGAAATCGAAGTGATGAGATTTTCTTTATGTATAATTGTTGGGAGGGAGAGGGGAGACATGGAAATGGAAAGAAACCCATGCAGGGTTTCCAGTGCGTACAAGGCCAGTTCGAAACAAGACTTGCTTGCATGCGTTTCTTTCCATGTATAGCCTTAGACACAAAAGGAATCTTCAAATGTTTTGCTGCTATGTTTTCATAGCTATTGGGAGTGTGCCAAATCGGTGTGGGACCCAATCCAGGTAGTGGCTTGGATGGGACACCCGGCTTTAGATGTTAGGCTTTGGTGCGATATTTGTTTGATATTAAGCCCGGACATTCGGCACACCCTGGGGATAGGAGTAGCAACGGTGTTGCCAAGATGGTTGTTTTAGGCTTATTGATGTATCAACTTGTATGGTCTTTGTGAATAATTAATAATATGGATGCATGCATTGTCCAGATGCAGAGGCCGGGGGTACATCCTCCTTTTCTAAAAAAATAGCTATTCGGGCATGAGTGCAAAAAATTAATCATCTAAAAAATATCTAATTTCCTAGTGGAAAAATAACAACAAAAATCGAATTGCCAAATACTCGCCATTGGCTCGCGTGTCTTGTTAGTTAGTTATCATAGGTCACCAATGGGAATGGTTCTTCTACAAAGTTTAAACGTTTAGGTATCAATGGTCGATAACCAGGGTCAAGGGGCCTCTTGCTACCGGTCATCAGTTTCTACTCCATAACACACGAGAAAAATAAAATGATTTGTCTCTATCATCATGGAGGTTCGTGATGGCCATGTAAGCATAGAGTATAGATTTGTAGAGTGGTAAGGAGGCCATGACACAGTGGTGGATGCAAGAGGGAAATTATTCAATGATAAAGATGCAGCGGCGGACATATGTTTAGGTGACGAGATCACCCGTGCCGGCCATAGGTTTGTTCAATACAAGATTACTATCACCAAAGGACGCCATAACAACATAGATCGCAAGGGAGCAGCCCTTGTGATGGACATGCTGGTAGATGGACAATGCATATAAGGCATGACAGGGATGATACACAGTGCATATGCAAATCATGGTTGAGCTAGGATGAATGGTGAGTGTATGTAATGGTGACAGATAAAGCATAAACCTTTTTTTCGTTTTGTCAGCCGGTGCGTTTGATATGTGGTATGGGGTGTTTGTCGTGACCTTTTATTGGCGGGCTTCCATGAGGCAATGCATGGGATGAGGGTGGTCGCGCGGAGAGGGGGATATATGATAGAGTTTTCGCAAAGTGCAACACTATATGATGGTACAAAATATGGCTAACACTCGGAAGTGTGACATTGCCTATGACTGGTGGACCGCCTTCCTTTATTTGAGTAGTCATGTTCGATACACAGTAGCTCTACCATATTTATATTGTATTATATTTTGCACAAATTACCACCTATACACGTAAAGAAAGGTTCATAAGCAAAATTTAGAAGTACAATAAGACGAGATTGGCAAGGCGGCGAGTGGCGTAAGACAACACTTCATGATAACATCAGTTCGTACATTGGTAGGGTTTAGGGGAGAAGCTACAGCCTGAAAAATCTAGGTTGTAACCCGATATCTTGGCCCCAAAATATACTGTCATCTTTAGAAATGTTGAAAATTAATCTGATATGTGATGAAATAATGTGGGGAATTTAGATGGGAAGACCCAACCATGACCATGGATAATTATTAGTTCCCTCCCTGGTGAGATACCATGGCATGCACAAATCTTTAATGTTTTGTCCGTGCTTAGGTTAGTGAATATCTCGGGATGAATATTGAGCACATACAACTTTTTTCCTACCCGATAAGCTATGCTCTGTGAGTATGATTGCTTGTATCTGCATTGGTAATTCCCTAGAGAGGAGGAGATGATGTAGCACGGCAACGCTAAGTATTTTCCTTAGTTATGAAACCAAGGTTATCAATCCAGTAGGAGAACCAAGCAACACTATCTAAACAACACCTGCACACAAACAACAATTACTGGCAACCCAACACGTAAGAGGCATTGTCAATCCCTCCTTTGTATTGACATAGATTAAATTGTATTAGATTAGATAGATAGATCAAACTAAATAAATAAAAAGTGCAGCAATAAATTTTTTGATTTAATATGATAGGAAATAGACCCGATGTGGCACCCCAGCTCAGAGTGACCGGTTTACCCTGCATTGCCAGCCCAGAGACCATGTCTTCTCGTAACACACAACATCTTGGTACAAAAAAACAACCGCTTTATTGATGCTAGCGGATCAGGGTTTATATTACAACAGATGTCGAGGCCGAGCAGCACGCACGGTGTGGCTGAACAATATGTACATTATTTAGTGAACATAAAGGGGGCCTCGATCATAACAACTATGCAGCAGCGGAACAACATCGTAGCGGGACTCCATAGCACAGGGACACCAATGTGGACACGATCTAGACTCGAGCAGCGCTCCTTTCCAATGCGACTTTCCTAAAATCTGGCATGACATGCCAGGTTAGTACATTGAATGTACTTGCAAGCTCACAACAGGCATAATCATAATGAGAAACATTATCATGATATTTAACCAATTAATAATGCAGTAATGTTCCAACATGTTGTGCTCATGCTCTTGGGATAAACATCCCTCGGGACCGACTTACCAACCGTGATCGTTCTCGGATCACAAACAAACAACCATCGTGGTCTTGAACAGAGTAACTTGTGTTCCTTACGGCGATCACCACCAAACCACCATCATGGTCTTGTCCAGAGTAACTCGTGGCCCATACGATGATCACAACCACGACCCATATTGGGCCTTGAACATCTCGATGGCCTTCCCGCCATCATCATCAGTGCAAAGTTCATAACTTAGTGTGCAAGTTTATTAAACATTGACTCATGGTGGGACCTACTACGAGGCGTCCGTAACCGTGGACTCGGCTATCGATAGATTACACACTCTGCATAGGTAGCACACTGTACCCACACCACGGAACCCATGGCCTCGCACTCCCATTCGGGTGGACCAACGGCATTCCGACAAAACCCTTCTATTGGCATGACACTCTCCCGGCCACTCCGACCCAATCCCCAACGGGCTAGTCCTGGGTGGCCCCATGTCTACCAAAGACACACCGAACACCATCGTGGCCAAAACAATCCCACTCGGGGACTCGGTACCATAGTCTCAACAACGGGCACACAAGGTTATGCCTGCTTACCGGGCCAGGATAAGCATGCCCATAACCACTACTAGGGAAAAGCCTAGTGGTAGCGCGGGTTTTAGGCTATCAGTAGCGCGGGGCGATGCGCTACTGATAAGGCGCTACAGCTAACGTATAGCAGTAGCGTGCCTCTGCCCACGCTACTGCTAAATCGACTTAGTAGTAGCGACTTCCCAGAGGAGCGCTACTGGTAATTAGTAGTAGCGCTTCTCCCTGCCCGCGCTGCTACTATTATTTCGTATTTTATTTCTTTTTTATTTCATGTTGTATTCGTACACCTTTACACAAGTTTTCATACAACAGGAATTTAGAAATTGTTTTTACATCATAATGAGTTATTACATCACGGGGTGAAAGAACCGTGCACTAGTTTCAAGTGGATGGACATCCACTTGAAACTAATCCACGGTTCTTTCACCCAATGATATAATAAATATCATCATCATCATCATATCATTAACAACTTATCATCATAATACATCATTGTCATATAACACCTCCTCAAGATCATCGTTTTCATCAATGAGACATCACATAGCAAATTGGTCACTAGTCGTAATCACAAGTACTCCTCATCATCAACTCTAACACATTGTATCACATAATAAACATATTGTACCTCATAGGACCTACTACATTCTCTTAGGACCTACTATATTCTCTAAGGTAAAATAGCAAAAAACAAGATAGCCCCTGACTCTCCATTATGGAGAATGGAGATTATCCTATCTCCAATTCTTGCCTTTCGCTTAATGTTACTTCCAAGAACCTCCTTGCAAATGTCCAAACATTTTTTCCATTCTTTGATTAGCATGTGTTCACCGGTTTTAGAAATCTGATATGCACATGTGAGCTCCTTAGATTGACCTGGTTGTATGTTCAGAACTGCAAGGCGACCATTCTGATACATCAGATGAGGCACACAATCCATCGGAATTTTCTATTGAAATACGTAGTAATAACTTCGTAGTTAGCAATGATGTACTAGTTTTAGAAGTATGCAAAAGATGCACGGATGTCGTAATAGTAAAAAATCTTACCAGGGTATCTCCATAGAAGTTACCGTGGTTCAACACATGCACTAGTGGCACATATTCACCATAATTTGGAGGAGTTCGATAATAGGTATTGTAATTCTCAAGATAAGTACAATAAGCAATCAGTTAACTTTTCTCCTTATAAGTTAATTCGGAGCCATCAGTGTAGTGGGTTTTGTCTACCATCTTTTGCACATTCTTTGAATATTCAAAATAAGTTGTCAATGGAAGTAAGCTGTCAACTATTTTGAAATAAACAATATAAATTAGTTAATAACTATGTTTGAGAAACTCACATTGCGGTAGAATCGGAAGCGTATCAACAAGGACCCAAATGTCCATATTGTCTTGCTCGATGTCAGGATCACCAAG